TAGGGTTTATGGCAGTTCAGGGTTTAGGGGTTTCGGGTCTATAGGGTTTAGGGCAGTTTAGGGTTTAGGATTTGGGGGTTTAGGGTTTAGGGCAGTTTAGGGTTCAGGGTTTGGGGGTTTAGGGTCTATAGGGGTTAGGGCAGTTTAGGGTTTAGGATTTAGGGGTTTAGGGTCTAGGGTTTAGGGCAGTTTAGGATTTAGGGGTTAGGGTCTAGGGTTTAGGGCAGTTTAGGGTTTAGGGTTAAGGGAGTTCCTCACCAAACAAAGTTCCCCTGACCTGTTCCCTCTGAAGGTTATGGGTTCTGTAATAAACCCTAAACCCTAAACCCTAAGGTTTTCTTGGCTTAAGGGTATCGGGATGTTCGGCTTTGGGGCTTAGGGTTTTAGGGCTTTCGAGTTTTGGGGTTTAGGGTTTAGGGTTTAGTTTTTATGGTTTAGGGTATAGGGTTCTGGGGTTTAGGGGATTCAGGTTAGGATCCGAGACAGCCCAGACTCTTATGAATTTACGGGCCAGGGGGTTCATTCGGGCGTTTGGGTTGACCTCAAGAGGGCATGGAGCGTAGGACTGACCGTGCTGTGGGGCACTTCAGATGCAGCTAGCTCCGATGTCGGATCTCTCACTTCTATGCAAAGCTCTTACCCCTGAGCCTCCGAAACTCCGAAGCTCCTAAACCAGAAACTCCGAAAGTAATTCAAGCACCTTTAATTTAGTTTTCATGAAATTCACCGAAAACCCTAAACCCTAAACCCTAAACCCAAGGTCACCTGGTTTAGGGTTCAGGGTTTAAAGGCGCAGAACCAAACTTTGTTACAGTCAGCTTGTCATCGGTGCAACACGAGAGAAAGGAAGTCCGCTACCGGGAATATTGCGTTTTCAAGGATTAGCGCGCCGCCACCACCAGGGTTTAGGGTTTAGGGTTTAGGGCACCACCACCACCACCACCACCACCACCACCACCACCACCAGATGAGAGCGTTAGGATGTGAAGCACTTTCATTGCGATCACTTCTCGAGGTCGTTTGCGCTACTGCTGCTGTCTTGCTTGTGAGATGCGGCACTGACAGAGGTGCAAAGATCTAACTTGGAGCTAATCTCCTTCTTGCGACCTGGCAGAAGAGTCACAGACGTGGGTGGGTGCCAAGACAATCTGGGAAGGTATGTTTTCGCAGCGGATGTTTACCGGTTTCGGGTGGCTTCAAGCTTCAGGAAGGTGTTTCGGCAGAAGGATGTACGAATGCTGGCGGTTGAGGCTCGTAGGAATCAGGCACTATTTCAACCCTAAACTTCCTAAGCCCTAAACCCCATAAACCCTAAACCCACTAAGCCCACAGATGAAGAGCACTAACAGTCTCCGAACCATCACGAATTCAGAAGCTCCCAAGACCTTGAAGTATTCCTTACGGTTCAGGATGTATACCTGTGACCCCAAACCCCACAAAATAGTAGGTTATGACCCCTTAATTCGAGGGTAGAACCCTTAAAACGGTAGGTTTTTGGATCCCCAGGTAGGGTTTAGAGAGACTCCGGCGTGGTAATTGTGGCGTCTCGTCCTTAGAGGATCACGGCTTTCAGAGCCAAGCCAGCCCGATAGGTGCTACGCAGGACCTCCTCAAGGAATTTTCTACGATTAATCAAAGCCGATACCTGCCTCTGTATATATATATATATACACATACATATTAATGTACGTATGTATGTACGTATGTATGTATGTATGTATGTATGTATGTATGTAAGTATGTATGCATGTGTATGTATGTATGCAGGTATGTATGCATGTATGTGTATACATATACATACATACATACATACTTACATACATATATACTGCAATGTGAAAATTATTGAACATATATATATATATATGAAGAGAGAGCGAGAGAGAGAGAGAGAGAGAGATATATATATATATAAAGAGACATATACACAGCATATGACACATTATTATACATCGGAGCTTAGCCCTGTGTAGTCGCGGTGTATGCGGTGTCGATTCTCGACCTTTAAGGCTTTAAGGGCTTAGGGGTTTCGGGTTTAGGATGGTTTAGGAGTTCAGCGGGATTTGGGGGGTTTGGGTTCAGTCAGCGCTTAGAGGTTTAGGGATTCAGCGTGCAGGGATTATAATGTATAAGCTCTGTTCTCACGAAAGCCATTTGGAGGGAACGTACCAACAGCCCCGGACAGACGCGCCAACAAGGCTGCTGAGAGTTTCACCCCCTCACATGGTATGTTCGGGACGTGTGGATTAAGGTTCAACTTCTGAATATATGCGAGCCTTTACGAAACTTGTTTGGAGCTTGGAACACCACGGCTATCATCCACTTTTGCTCTCTTCGACTGTAAGAAGTTTAAATCCGCGGAACTCGCGTGGAATAATACCACGGTGAGAGTCCAAGAGATGAACAATCAGATGCACTTCCTGGCGGACGTCTGGAAACGGTTCGTGGTTGGAGGCACGATGACCTGCCCTACGCCCACAGGCGGGCCCAGTGCCTTTTTCATCCCATAAGTGTAAGGTCCTCTGCACCGTGCAACGGACTCTCTGGAGACCCGAACCCTTCTGTGACTAGGCCCGGAACCCCGAGTCTTAAACCCCGTAAAACCTGCGGCCTAAGCCCCTGAATCCTAAACCCTAAGCCCTAAACCCTAAACCCTAAACCCTAAACCCTAAACCCTAAACCCTAAACCCCTGAACCCTAAACCCTAAGCCCCTGAATCCGAATCCCAGCTCCCAGGTCTTCCCAAGGTATGCCAAGTGCCGCCCTGGCTGCCTCTCGTCTTCACCGCTTGCTTTGTGTTTAGGGTTTAGGGTTTAGGGTTTATAAGTTTAGGTTAATCTCCCGGGTCGTAAAAAAACCCAAAACTGGGGCTTAGGCTCAGGGTGCATTAGAGTTTAGGGCTTAGGGTTTTTACATGTGATTTTCGGGTTCTTCAAACCCTGAATCAATGCTTAGGGTGTAGGGCGGCTGAGGGTTCAGGTTGTAGGGCTTAGCGTTTTATAGCCTTAAACTAGGGCTTGGGGCTCAGGGTTGTTTAGGTTTAAGGGCTTTTCGATGACTAAACTATGGCTTAGGACTTAAAGCTGTTGTTAAGCCCCAAACCACATGAAACGCTGTAGAACTTACTGAAGCCTTGAACCCTTTTCGAACCTGTAGCGAATCTGCGGAGGAACCCTCAGACCCATTACCTAGGTTGATCTTCTACGATGGGGTGTACCGGGGGTGTACGGCTCCTTGCGCCCTAAGGTTTTTGTGGCTTGGAAAGGCTAGGCTTGTTGGTGGGGGTTCCAGCTTTCGGGTTCATGTGTTGTTCGGGGTCCGGTTCTTGGTCAATGTTGGGTTTTATATTTACTTCGCACACACAAAATTTAGGATTGTCGGGCTTATGCTTTTCTGCATGCAGAATGCAAGCTTTAGCCAGACATGAATTTTGATTTTTGCTGTTAGACAAATGCTTGTAGGTGTACGTCTATGAGGCTTTGTGTGCGGACCGAACAGTAGAATAAATTCAACAATGTAGGGGCCTAAATAATTCCCAATACTGTTTTATGGGTTCCTGTTATAAGTATAGTAAAATGGGCCCAAAATCCCATTCTAGCTATTAAGGCCCCTATACTACTCGCACAAGCCTCAAGCTGGAAGAGTCAGGTCTTGGTGTTTTCCGTGGCCATCCCCGTGGTGAAGTTCGGGCTCCTCAGCCACAGAGCTATCCGGGTGAGGCTTCCTGTAAGGGTTCCTTAAAAGGGTCCTATAAGAGTTTTGTAAGGGCTTATAAGGATGTGTAGGGCGAAATGGCGCGTGCGCGCGCTCGCGCGCGCGTGCGCGTGGGTGTGTGTGTGTGTGTCTCTGTGTATGTGTGTGTGTAAACCTGCTTTCTTGTATCCATCTCTGTAACGGATTCTGCCCAGACCTTCCAATGGGCCCTTAACTAAGGAACTAAGGAAAATACCCTTGTGTTGTAGTTTTGGTTACCCTACTTTAAACCTGTATCTACCCATGAACCTGCAACTACAGCCGAGCTTCGGCAACGTGGCTGCAATGACCATAATTGGCAAATGGCCTTTGTGTCTCTCCGCTCCAGGTACTATTGGGGCGTAAATACATGTATAGTTGTGGGGTTCCGTATTATGTGATTGTAGCATAACATACACCAAAACCGTATTCTAACTATTTAGGCCCCAAGAGTAACTTAGTACTTAGTACTGGCTGAAGCCCCATTGTTCTGAGACTACTAGCCACTCCGATGTGGTTTCACAAGGCTCACGTTTGGGGCTACAGGGCCCCTGACGCCTCAAACCCTGAACGCCCAAGCCACTTAATGCATATACAAACAGTTGGTTGCTGTCAAGAGGATCTATAGGGCTTCTTGACGGACAGGATTTCAATCCAGGGGACTTCGATTTTTGTTTAAGGAAGCCTGTGGAGTAGTGCTGTTTATCGCTCAGCTTCTATATTACAAGTAGCAAGCCCCAGGGCCTAAAACCGCCAAGCTGTAAACTCCGTGCATGAAGCTTGAGCCCCAAACCCAAGAATCCGAAACTCCAAAACTCTAAACCTGAAGTTTGTTGAAACCTAAACCCTGTGCTCCAAACCCCCTGGAACCTTCAGCCCTAAATCCCTAAACCTCCCGAAACTCCTAAACCCTAAACCGCCAAACCCTACGCCCCTCAACCCTGCAACCCTGCCCCTAAACCCCAAAGCCCTGTAGTGGCACCCTTATCGTATCCCTTATACATATTATATATATATATATATATATATATATATATATGTATCTCTCTCTCTCCCTCCCTCTGAAAGCCTAAAGACATGAAGTCGCAAGGATGGTCTTCCTGGTGTTGTGGCGGCCAAAGATGCTTTCACCACCTCAGCTGCATTGGCTTCCTGGCTTTATTCAGTCATAAGGACCCTTAGGGTAGGGGGGAGGGGGGTAGGGGGCCTTAGACCGGCAATAAGGACCTAATAAGGCTATTGTTAAGGCTTGTTTGAGGAAGTATGGTCCCCTACCCGGCCCTACCCCCCGCTCCCCTTACCCGTAAGGGTACCTATGATTTAGGCTGATGGTATTTAGGGCCATTAGCATCGCTAGGGGTTTAGGATTTAGAGTTTGGATTTAGTAAGGGTTATTACGGGTTTAGGGTTCAGATATGTTTCAAGTTTGGATTTAAGTTTAATTATAGGGAATTAGGGTTTAGGGCTTTGGGTTTAGGCTTTAGGGCTTAAGGGGTTGGGGTCTGTAGAGGTGTAGGACATAGGTTTCAGGCACTGGGGTTTGGGTTTAGGGTGTCGGTGCCGAGCATTGTGTAAAGGCGGCAGGGTTTTGAGGCATAGAGTGCATAAGGCCGGTAATGCCAGAGAATACTGCTCGTTCATAAAAAGAAGGAATGACAACATGCTTAGTACTGAGCAATTCCGCAGCCGCGTAACAATGACATTGGCAGCAAAACAGGTTCATGGTATTATGCGGTTACTATAATGGTTCTGATTGTCATGCTATTAAGCCTGGCTCTTGTTGTTGTCTCTTTCATCATTCACGATGTTCTTCTTGCTGCGTACCAAGTACTCCTGAACCCTCAAACCCCAAACACTCCTGTTGCTTTGTCCTGGCTTCTTTGGAGTGTCCTACACCCACCTGCTCCCCCCTCACCCACCCTGCAATGATTTCATTCATCCCTGTGCCCGCAAACCCTAAACCATAAATCAGGACATGTTAAGACCTAACAAAGCCCTCAGCCTCGTGATGTTCTTAGTTCCTTATGCCGATGCTTTCTTACTGCAGTCCAAAAAGATTGCCTCTCAAATGCCCGTTTCCACACCTCGCATTCCTCATAAAGACGGGACGCGGAATAATTAGTAATCGTCCCTTGCAGTCCCCCAAATACACACAGCTACCCGGAGAAGAACGTGACTTGCTAGGAAGTTGACGGCCCTTGCAATCTGCTTACATAGAAATGCCTTCAGGCCTAATTTCTAGTGTAGCGGAAATATGCATGAAGCCCTGTTCATCTGCCGCATGTCTGCAACAAGAACACCTGTCCCATGAGGTTGCTAGCTGTTTCATGTTTGACAATGATAGGTCAGACATAGCAAATAATACGTGCACTACTAAATAAATCAGGTTCGGGGTCCTGGGGTTTAGGGTTTAGGGTTTAGGGGTTTAGGGTGCACGGGCAGCAAGATCTGAGGATTTGTCGCGCCCTTTGTGCGATATCTCCGTATCAGATGTGCGATATCTTTCTTGCAGCACGCACGCAAAGTTGAGTATTTCAGAGTCGAGATATGCCTAGAGTCTCCATTGTAGTTCCCTTTTGGGCTAAACCAGATGCGTATATAGGATCCTATAAAGGTAAACACAACAAGGAACTGCAATGGAGACTCCAGGTTAAATAGGAACCTGATCAAGAAGCCCTGAGTTTTTTCTCCGGGTTCTGTTGATGAGTACTATAACTTTTTGGGGGTTCTAGGGCCAGGGTTTTTTAATCAGGTTCCTACATGAGGGTCCCCTTCAGGGTAAGCCCCAAATTGCTAAACCTCAGCCCTAAACCCTAAACCCCGAAACCCTAAACCCTCAACCCCTAAACCAAGAACCCCTAAACCCCAAATCCGAAACAGAGGTAGGGTCTACTTCAGGGGCTTGATTTGGAAACCTGAGGCTGGGACCCGCTAAACCCTGAGCTTCGCAGGGCGAGCCGTCCTAAAGATAGGTTTAGGATTTAGGATTTAGGGTTTAGGGTTTAGGGGTTTCGGGGTTTAAGGTTTAGGGTCTAGGGTTTAGGGTTTAGGGTTTAGGCTACGATAGGGGCTTTAATAATTGCCTATACAACTTTGGGGGGCTCCTTAGTATAATTATAATATAATGTACCCCAACACTCTTTTCTAATTGTTAAGGCCCCTACATTAGTGTCGGGCCCTACACGGTTTAGAGGTTTAGGGCTTGGGGCCTAAAATCCAACATGAGAAAGCAAGTTAAAGTCTTAAGTATCTATTCCCTATCGTTTGGGTGCAGCCTCAAGACCAAAGTTCTGGAATACGGTGTGCTGTCAGTGTTAATTAGGGTTTCGGATTTAGGTGAGGGCTGGGTCAAGAGCATGCGATATGGGGTTTGGGATTGTTTCTTTCCAAGGCAATGTGTGCTTCGAAATTTGGCGAACACTCCAGCGTATGGTTGTGTCACACCCAGCAGTATCAGTGTTTCCTGACTCTTGAAGCCAAAACTGTTCACCAAGCTGCAGAAGCGTGGCTCATTAACTGCACGGCTCACCATGTTTCGTCGAGTAATCTATTTGAACCGCACCGCTGTTGTCTGCCGCATATGGCAAAGTCTAGGCAAGGTGCAAGTCGTGGCCCCTTCACTGTGCTGAAAATGATCAGAGCACCCGCCCACTGACCGGTGATGCAAGTGACCCGCAAAAAGTAGCCAAGTCACTGATTTGTATTTTCAGCCACATGGGCTTCATCCGAGGTCATGTTCATGCTCTCATATCTCAACATCGGCATGGCTTCCCCAGATGTAGCTGGCAGCGGCTACAGTTGCGAGTTGTGTGGAGGTTTCACCACGCTCTCTCGGCTGCACTGGAGTATATGATTGGGCTTTAGGGTTGTGGAATCTCTATCTAGAGCCTCGGTACCAAGTCAGTGAGTGTACAGCCTGCAGCCGTCTCAAGTGGAAGGTAAGTCCTATAGACCTCTTTCCTTACGAGATACATGGGGTTAGACATCGTGGATGGCAAAAGCAGCAGAAAGCTAAGAAGCATATGACCTGCATATGGTGTTTTCAGTACTGTACTTGCCAGCTGAGGGGGCAAGGACCCTGTCGCTCTGCAAGAGAAAGGCCACTGCACTTTAAAAAGAACCTAACTTTAGTAGTAGGCGCCCAGCGGTCTAGAGTCTAGGGTTTAGGGTTCATGGCCCTTTAGGCCCCCAGAGAGCCCAATACCCCTTAATTAAGGAATATACCTTAAATCATAATATTAAGACCCTATAATTTAAGGTCTACTCCTTAACTAAGGGGTATTGGGCTCTCTGGGTACCCTAAACCCTAAACCCTAAACCCTAAACTCCTAAACCCTAAACCTAACCCCTACATCAAACTGCCTTCCCGGCCCCGGGGCTCAGTGTTCAGGGTTTCGCGCTTCGGTTCCCGGGTCTAGGGGCTGTGAGTTCGTCGTAGTAGGATTACCATATTCGTCGTAACGCACACATCTGATTTCCGAACCCGCTTCCTCACCATGAAGGCCCTTGGAGATGGATCGTGGGTTATTAACTGTAAACCCTAAACCCTGAAACCTGAACCCTGAACCCTAAATCCTAAACCCTAAATCCTAAACCCCTAAACCCCAAAGCCCCAAACCCTAAAACTCTAAACCCTAAGCCCCAAAGCCTAAACCCTAAGCCCTAAACCCTAAACCCTACACTAACTAGTCAGGGGTCTGCAGTGATTATGGGGGGCTTCATCCCTGGAGCTATGGTCTCTGGGTCACAACCCAGCCTCGGACCTGACTGAAGGGATCACGGGTTAGGGTTTAGGGATGTTTAGGGTTTAGGGTTTAGGGTTATTTAGGGTTTAGGGTTTAGGGTTATTTAGGCTTTAGGGTTTAGGGGTATTTAGGGTTTCGGGTTGAGGGTTATTTAGGGTTTAGGGTTTAGGGTTATTTAGGGTTCAGGCTTTAAGGGTTTAGGGTTTAGGGTTTGGCGAGGGCTAGGGTTCAGGGTTGAAGGGATAATATAGGGGACGATTGGGTTTGGGGGGGCACATATTACACTGATATAGGGACTACGCTAGTACGAATTCTTCCAACCATCGCTGTTCTTCCTGACTACACGCCTCTGTCACATGTGGGATGGTTTGGGTCGGTGTTGACAACTTTCCGCGCCTGGCTTTGTAGTTTTCAGCTTCAGCACACCACTCCTGCAAGGCTTCGTTTGGGGACCCAGGGCAGAGGAATAGAAGGTTGAGAGATTGAAGTTTGGAGCTTAGGGTTGTTTAAGGTTCGGGTTTCGGGCTCGAAGCTTGAATTTTGAAAGTTGGCGCTTTAGGTCCTGGGTTTTTTTGGGGGTGGCCCGAGTCTAAGAGGGCACAAACCAGTTGGGATCTGATTCCAATCCTCTCGGAATCGGGGTGGGTGAACCCGGCGGCCGTGGGAATTTTGACCATTCGCGCTGCCACCACGTCGATCTTTTCGTGGGTGGCCTTTGAGTCGCTTCCCAATATGGCTCGATCAGGGACCGAGAAAAAACTTGAGAAGGTGTCCATGGACTGATTCTCGCGCTTGGTTCTCTTGCTCGCGCCACTCGCCATGAGCTGGGACATGACTTTGTTCACAGTCCCCTGAAACATGGACGACCATGGAGGATTTTGGAACACCGAGCTGAGGCTTGTGGCCTCTGCCGGGGTCAGCTGCTCACATACCGCCTTCTACTTCCTTTCCCTGAAGCATCCCAAAAAATCCTAAAACCCTCAAACCTAAACCCTAAACCGCTACCATTTCGGGAAGGTTGCTGGGCTACAAAAAGCATGGATCATTGTTGAGGGTTTAAGGAGCTTTTTCGGTGTGCAGGGTCTTAGGGCTTGGGGGCCTTTAGGGCTTAGGCTTTAGGGACCCCAAACCCTAAAACCCTGAACCCTAAGCCCTAAACCCTAAACCCTAAACCCCTAAACCCCTAAACCCTAAAATGCCAGAGAACCAGAACCCAAAACTGAGAACTTACTTCAGATTCTTGGCTCGGGGCTTTGGGCTGCGGGCGCTCTGAGGGTTCGGGTTCTGGTTAAAGCACGTGGTTTAACTCACTGGCCCAAAACCCAAGGAAATAAAAGTTGAAACTTTCAGAAAGAATCGACTACCTTATAAGAACCCCAAAAGTTGAAAAGTTGAGTTTACAGCCAATAAGGAAAGGAATTGCTGGAGCTCTTCCTGTGGAATAAGCTGGTAGA